CTAATATATCCATCCTCCTGGCAGTTTCTTCACATCGGTTGATCACAAGCCAGAGGTCTCCATCTCAGCAGCGCCAGAGACCCTTGTAAACAGCAAAACCGCAGAGGCCTCTTCTCCGCCCCCCCCCCCCCCCCCCCCAAAAAAAAGCATGTGTGGGTCCCGAGGATGAATACTGCTTGCTCGCCTAAACCCAGAGAAACCCCAAAAGAATCCCAGGGTTTAGGGTTCAGGGTTTAGGGTTCAGGGAGGCAGAACCCTGAACCCTGAAGGCTTTAAGCCCTAAACCCTCTGCGCCCGCAGCGGGGGCAAGCTGGGCCCACGCACGCGCTCGAGGAGCATCAGGAGCCTCAGCTTGCCCCGCGGCATGGAAAAAGCAAGGTTGGCACAAAAAGAGTCAATGAACCCGGTCCCCTCAAACCCAATCAGGGGGAACTTGAAACACCTTAAGCCCCATGCCCTAAACCGTAACCGACAAAAAACACGACGAGTAAGCGGCCGGACGAGCACATGATTTGCTTAACAATGCCAATCCTTCACCCCCAAGACCCCTTAAAGCCATGATTCTCCAAAAGGTTTAGGGTTTAGGGTTTAGGGTTTAGGGTTTAGGGTTTAGGGTTTAGGGTTGAGGGTTGAGGGTTGAGGGTTTAGGTTTAGAGGTTACGACACGCCAGATCCACACAAAGCCCTACAAGCCTTTGCTGGACCCCGCACTTTACTCTAAAGACCCTTTTGACCGAAGGTTTAGGGTTTAGGGTTTAGGGTTTAGGGTTTAGGGTTTAGGGTTTAGGGTTTAGAGGGTCAGAAGTTGTTTTTGTTTACAGCATGTTACTTGCCAGCCACACGAGCCTCGCGAAGCAATGTCCACCGGGATCTGAAAGCTAGGGTTTAGAGGGTCATAAGGGGGTGAAGGCCTTAGAACTCATAGAACACAGCAGTAGAAATTCAACAGCCCAACAAAACCCAGGACCCAAGAAACTCGAAGACCCAAGGTGCCCCTGGGGCAGACCTGATACTCTAGTCCATAGCGCCGACCGAACGGGACCTAAAGCCCCAGGTACGGCCTAACACCCGCAACACTAAAACCCTAAATCCCTAAGAGCCTAAGAGCCTAAGAGCCTAAGAGCCTAAGAGCCTAAGACCCTAAAACCCTAAAACCCTAAAACCCTAAAACCCTAAAACCCTAAAACCCTAAAACCCTAAAACCCTAAAACCCTAAAACCCTAAAAAAACCCTAAAACCCTAAAACCCTAAAACCCTAAAACCTCCTAAAACCCTAAAACCCCTAAAACCCTAAAACCCCTAAAACCCTAAAACCCTAAAACCCTAAGGCCCTAAAACCCTAAAACCCTAAAACCCTAAAACCCTAAAACCCTAAAACCCTAAAACCCTAAAACCCTAAAACCCTAAAACCCTAAAACCCTAAAACCCTGGACCCTGAAAGCCTGAAACCGCTAAGACCCTAAAACACTAAGCCCTCAAACTCTAGTGCCGCTAAGACCCTAAAAGCCCGAAGGCCCAATATGAAACCCTAAAAAGCCTCTGAAGCCCGACAACACCGAAACCCTTAAACCCTGAAACCCTTAAGACCCTTAAGACCCTTTGAAACCCTGAAACCCCTAAAGCCCCAAAAAACCTCAAGTCCTTAAGACCTAAAGCCCTTATAGACCCTATGAAACCCTGTACATATACATTTACATATACATATACATGTACATATACATATAGATATGCATATAGATATACCCCAAAAGCCCCAAAAAAAACCTTGAGACCCTAGAAACCCCAACAGAGCCTGCCGAACCCCCCCCCCCCCCCAAAAAAAAAAAAAAAAAATGCTAACCCTAAACCCTGAACCCTGAACCCTCCCAAAATTCCTCAACCCGTGCGGCCCAGGGTGCAGAGACAGAGCAGAGGCGCTACCCGAGGAGTCCCCTGCCATGCTTGTGGCGCTCGCAGGGTTTCGGGGCTTTTTGGGCCTCCAGGCCTAGGGCTTTAGGGTTGTTGGGGGGTTGCGCTTTTTCGGGGCGTAGGGCCCAGGGGTTTAAGGTGTGGAGGGGTTTAGGGTTTGGGGTTTTTGGGGCTTCGGGGTCAGGGGTTTAGGGTTTACTGTAGGGGTCAGGGGTTTGTGGCTGTGAGGGTGTCAGGGCCCCGGGGCTTCGAAGGTTTTTGGGAATTCAGGGCTTCAGGGCTGGGAGGGCTCGAGGGCTTGAAGGCTTCAGGGTTCTGTTTTGGTGGTATTTTGCAGGATGCGCTTTAGGGTTGTAATTCGGGCTTCAGGGCTGTCGTGTGTCCAGGGTTTGAGGGCAGGGCTCTAGGGTTGTCGTATTTTATGCATGCGGTCTGCGGACACTCGAGGCGAATCTTGGCGAATCTTCGGATGCAGCAACTGGGCGTAGAGAGCCCAAAACCCGAAACCCTAAACCCTAAACCCTAAACCCTAAACCGCACACCGACAGTCTTAGGGCTAGGCCTGGTGCCTTGAGAAGGGCATGGGGGTCTCATCGGGGAATGAAAGGGAATGCCAGGTTCGAAGGTGGCCTATTTGGGTGGCGGGGGGGGGGGGAGCCCTTAACCCTAAACCCGAAACCCTAAACCCTGGCCCTAAACCCAAAACCGGAAGGGGGGGAGGGGGGGGGGGAGGTCGCATGGTGCCTTGGGGCTGTCACTGCCTGATGTGGGCAGCTGGATGCATAGAATTCCCGTCCTCTAAATTCTGCTCCCTGGCTGGGGCTATTTTGGTTGAGGGTTTAGGGTTTAGGGTCCTAGGCCCTAGGATTGGTTTTTGCGCATGGGGGTCCAGGGTTGAGGCACAATGAATGTAATCGAACCACTTGCAAAAGGACCCAGTAAAGAAAGCACAGTTTAGAGTCTGAGTAAAAGAACCCCTCCCCTCCATCATGTCTTCGTGGTTGAGAACATTCGTGGTCTGGCCTATGTATTGCAAATGAAGCTACACCCTATACCCTAAACCCGATTGCAAATGAAGCTAAACCATAAACCCTAAACCCTAAAAAACTCCGTACTCTCGCCCCAAGCCCCTCAATGCGAGCACCAGGCCTGCGACAAACATGGGCGGCACAGGTGCTCGGCTGCAGTCTTCACCTGGGATGGAAAGCGTCAAGGGTTTAGGGTTTAGGGTTTAGGGTTTAGGGTTTACAGCATTTCAGAGCTCTCACATCAACTTGGTTACGGGCACCCTTTTTGGGCTACTAAAACAACGGGAACCTTGAACCAAGGAAAGGGGTCAAGTGCACCACTGGGCAACCGAGTCAAAGTTTTAGGACGCAGGGTTCCGTTTGGAGCTTGGGGCCAAGGGCTTCGCGCACCTGCGCTGGCTGCGCGAGTCTCAGGTCTCTGAGGAGGCCCAGGTACCCCAGCGGGCCGCTGATGTGCACCCGCTCAGGATGGGTTAGGGCTCTGGGTGCAGGCTCCTTGGTTTAGGGTTTAAGGCCACTCAAGCCCTAAACCCTAAACCCGAAACCCTTTAAGCCCCTAAATCCTGGACCTTAAGAAATAGCCATCACCATAAACCCGAATAGCCATCCGCATGGTTGTCCCCAAAGTGCCCCAAGCATCTGCTTCAACCCCAACGGCCTACACTCGGAACTCAGTAGGGTTTAGGGTGTATATATAGGGTATAGGGTATAGGGTATAGGGTTTAGGGTTTAGGGTTTAGGGTCACAGGAGGCCATAGCCGCGCCGAACAACTCCTGAGAAGCCGCGCTGGGCCCCGACAGCAAGACACCCTGAAGCGCTTCAAAAATGCTGAACCTAAACCCTAAACCCTCTACCCTAAAGCCCTCAAGTCTACCCAAGAACAGGACCCGAAGCCCTAAAACCGCCTTATCCCTGTAAAGGCTAAAGCCATAAACGCTAAAGCCTTAAGAATCTGGACAATCCCCCCCCCCCCCTCGCCCTTACGTATTCGGATTGGCTGGCGTCAAAAGCGAGCAAACCCTAACGCCGGTGCTTTCTCAGCCTGAACCCGAAACCCGAAACCCGAAACCCGAAACCCGAAACCCGAAACCCCAAACCCCAAACCCTAAACCCTAAACCCTACCCCCTAAACCCTAAACCCTAAACCCTAAACCCTATAAATCCCGCCACTGCCGGGTGTGCGGCCGTCCGGCCCATGCTGTGACAGCCAGCTCCAGGCAGCTTCAAGGGACTGAGAGGCGGGGGTTTAGGATGAGGGCTTAGGGGCTTAGGGGCTATATCAGCATATATATATATATATATCTATCTATATATATATATATATACAAATATGAATATATATATATATATGTATATAATATAAGCCTAAACCCTAAACCCCAAACCCTGAACCCTTAACCCCAAACCCCATCAGGGGCTTCGGTGTGGTGAGGGGCAGCAAAGGATCCCGGGGACAATTCTCAAAGATGCTACAGGGGGGGGGGATTTAGAGTTCAGGCTCTGACGAGCCCCTTGCCCTCGACGTCTCCCCAAAACTTTTCGAACACGTCCGGGCGGAGGGTGGGGGTGGCGGGGAGTGGGGGGAGTTGTCCAAATAAAACTCAGCAGGGGAAGGGGGGAGCCGGGGGGGAAGAAATCATGCGTCTGAACTCTCAAGTCTTGAGGGCCTTGTGGAGGGAATTTGGGCTAAACATTGTGGTCTTTGCGTCCTGGGTTTAGGGGTGCCCGCCAGTTGCAGGCATCAGTACCAATCACAGTCGCAGCTAGAACCTGGTTGCTGCGGTTGCTGAGTTCCCTGGCACAAAAGAGGCTAACCTTCTCATCATGGAAGGATGATCTAGCCCTAAACTGCTTTAAAGAAGGTCAAGCTTTGAGAGCCCCCTCATGCACTCCATCTCATTAGGATCCCATATTTATGCTCCAGTGTAAAAACCTCCAGATATAATAATATTTTTATATTAGATAATAATTTTCTGAATATGACAAATGCCACAGATGGTATATCTTCAAGTTTGTACCAAAGAAGGGAAATTTATAGCCTGAGCCCTCCATCTCCATTTATCTTACCGTCCACGTTCGGAACTCTCTCCGGCCGTCTCAACCTGAGCCAAGAAGAAGATGCAGAGGAGCCCAAGAGCCTGGAGCCCTGACTGAAGCCTGAAACTCACACATGTGAAACCCCCTTGGCCCTGAACTCCTGAAAAATCCTAAACCCTAAACCCTAAACCCTAAACCCTAAACCCTAAACCCTAAACCCTAAACCCTAAACCCTAAACCCTAAACCCCAACGCCTAAACCCTAAAGTGGTGAGGGCGCGGCTCCCAGGATGGCCTCGTAGTTGCCGACCGGCACCAGAGGGTAGTCTGGGACCTCGGCAGGTTTAGGGTTTAGGGTTTAGGGTTTAGGGTTTAGGGTTGAGGGTTGAGGGTTGAGGGTTGAGGGTTTAGGGTTTAGGGTGTAGGGTGTAGAGTGTAGGGTTTAGGGTTTAGGGTTTAGGGTGTAGGGTGTAGGGTGTAGGGTTTAGGGTTTAGGGTTTAGGGTTTAGGGTCTAGGTTTAGGGTTGAGGGTTTAGGCTTTTTTCGGGTTTCGGGTTTCGGGTTTAGGAGGGGAGGGGATAAACCCATGAACCCTAAACATCGTGCTTGTCCTTCTGGCCGGCTGCGGGTGCGCAATTATAGGCAGACTTGGTAGCCCAGTAACCATATTGTGTTGAGGGTGCCCTTTTTTCGGGTTGGTTACCTCATAAGGGAACCTCGAACCAAAAAAAGGGAGAAGGTACCACTGAGCTCCCAAGCAGAGATAATGAGTTGGGCCCGTCTGTGTTCAGGATGTAGGTTGGGGCGTTTAGGGACCGTTGGCGTATGCTGCCGAGCCGGACGCCAACTTTCAATTCGGATCGTTCAATGCGCGCCTTCCTCGCTCCGGCAGAATCCCACAACCCCGAACATCCTAAACTCCAAGAAAACCCGGCCGACCCGAATTTAGGCCCCAAACAAGCCCCCAAGATCCAAAATGGCCTCATGTCCCCTCCGCCATGGCTCCGGGCCAGGACCGTGGCTCCACCCACCTCACTTGATGGCTCTGAGGAGGGAAGGACGAAGGAGGGAATTAGGCCCTAAACCCGAATCCTAAACGCTTACAGGGTATACAGAGCATCCCCCCCTTGAACAAAAACCCAACGAAAAGCCAGCTCCCTTTCAGCAAAGACCATCTTCAGCTCCTCCGCCACTGGGTTCGGGCGGCTTTTTTGGGCTGCCGTCGCCCATTTTTGAGTTTGGGAACCTGGTTTTTTGGAGCCGGGGGTTTCAAGAGCTTAGGATTTCGGAGTTTGGGATTCTTTGGGTTTAGGGTTTCTTGGTTGCAGGGCCAGGGCTCATCGGGTTCCCTGGCAGCCAAGCCTTCCAAGGTCGGGTTGCACCCCAGGCCTAGACGTCACCCCCGACCCAGGCCTGATCCTCTTTGTGGGGTTTAGGGTCTAGGGTCTAGGGTCTAGGGTTTAGGGTTTAGGGTTTAGGGTTTAGGGTTTAGGGTTAAGGGTTTAGGGTTTAGGGTTTAGGGTTTAGGGTTTAGGGTCTAGGGTCAAGCGTCTAGGGTCTAGGGTTTAGGGTTTAGGGTTCTTAAACCCTGAACCCGAAACCCTAAACCTAAAGCCCTAAGCCCTAAACCTCGTAGACAAGGAGTTGTGGGTACCTAGGCCCTGTGGCACCCTGAACCCTAAACCCTAAACCCTGAACCCTGAACCCTAAACCCTAAACCCCATAGTTGTTCTATATGCACCAAACCGAAGCTTCCCTTCCCTGTCTGAAGTCAGGATTCCTCTTTTAAGGGACTCTCCTCACATGGTCCATCGCTTGCCAAGGACCTTTATGGAACAGCCCGAAGGTTTAGGGTTTAGGGTTTAGGGTTTAGGGTTTAGGGTTTTAGGGTTTTAGGGTTTAGGGTTTAGGGTGGCAGCTCGACTTGGGCTGTGCCTGCGACAGGTAGGCGCCGAAGACGTCGTACGAGGCCTGCGTCTGCAAACCCAAAGCCCCAAACCCTAAACCCTAAACCCCTAGCCCTAAACCCTAAACCCCAAACCTAAACCCTAAACCCTAAACCCTAAACCCCAAACGCTAATCCCTAAACCCTAAGCCCCAAACCCTCTGGAGACCCTGAATGGCACTTGGAAAAACTCAGAAGCGGTTCCTCAGGGACGTAGGTTTTTTGCTGTTGTCGCTTGCTTGTTTGGGGCGGGCTTGCAGCTTCAGTGCAACCGTCGGCCTATGAACATCCAAAACCTAAACCCTAAACCCTAAACCCTAAACCCTAAGCCCTAAACCCTAAACCCTAAACCCTAAACCCTACACCCTAAACCCTAAACCCTAAGCCCTATACCCAGGCCGGGCTGAAGTGCATAAAGTGTCGCTGCCAGCCGTGGCCCCTGATCGCCGTCGTACCGTCCAGGAACAACGTTTAGGGTTTAGGGTTTAGGGTTTAGGGTGTTGGGTGTTGGGTGTTAGGGGTTGGGGTTTAGTTAGGGTTTGGGATCCAGGGTTTAGGGTGCAGGGTCTAATGTTTTGAGCCCTGAAACCTTAAACCGGCGGGAGCCTGTCTAGGGCCGTGCCGTTGCCATCCGCCTCCATGCACCTCACTTGGTTCATTTTTAAGGGGTGGGGTTTAAATTTTGGATCCTAAGCCTTGCAAACCCCCCAAACCCGAACAAACATTTCCGGGCGCCTTTTTTCGGATACTTCCCAGATTATATATATATATATATATATTTATTTATATATATATATATATATATATTTATTTATTTATATCTATTTATTTATGTATATATATATATATATTTTTATATTTAAATATTTTTGGGGGTAACCGGGTGCCTTTGGGCTGGGGCCTGGATTTCAAGGCATCAGGGCTTCTGGAACCGAGCAAAAGGGTTTAAGGTTTCGGGTTCCTCGTCAACGGTCAGCCAAGCCCTTGGCATATAGTACTCGGGGCGTGCTGCAGTCGGCCGCCTGTCCAAGCAAAGCCATCGGTTTTGGGACTTGAGGGCTTGAGGTCAAGGGTTCAGTTCGGTTCAGTTCAGTTTGAAACCCCTAAGCCCTAAACCCTAATCCTAAACCCTAAACCCTAAATCCTAAACCCTACAAACCCTACAAACCCTAAGCCATGAACAGCGCCTGAGGCCACCAGAAGGCGTCTTGCCCTCGCGGACCTTTGCGGTCCTGGGCTCTCTCTCTCTCTCTCCCTCTCTCTCTCTCTCTCTCTCTCTCTCTCTCCCTCCCTCGAAGTAGGGTTTAGGATTTAGGGTTTAGGGTTAAGGGTTTAGGGTTAAGGGTTTAGGGATAGGCTTTAGGGTGTTTAGGCGCCGACGGCCTCTAGGCAGTCGCTGGCTCGAACCCCTGTATATGATTGTTAACTAAGAATGCGCACTGGATTCTTAGAGCCATAGCTTTTAAGGGCCGAGTATATATCTGGGCCCCAAAGCTACTTACTCTAAGCATATACTATCTAGGTACATCGACCCTTGTGGTGGCACGCGGACCAGACCTTAAACACGGTAAGCCTCCCAAAATACCCCCTAAAAACTTACCCTAAACCCTATAAACCCTAAACCCTAAACCCTAAACCCTAAACCCTAAACTTTACAAGAAAGCACGACTGTAAGCGTCTGCTGCAGCCGGGCAGCGTCGACGCATGCATTGGCGGAGCCGCTGCTGCCCTTGGCAGGTGCGGAGCGGTCCCCTACATAGCATAGGGTGGGATGTTCCCCTTATACTCCAATTAGGGTTTAGGGTTTAGGGTTTAGGGTTTAGGGTTTAGGGGTTAGGGTTTGGGGTTGGGGTTGAGGGTTGAGGGTTGGGATGTTCCCCCTTAAACAAGGAGTCCTCAATGGGGATTATAGAGGGGGTGCTATAATCCCTATGAAGGACCGTTGGTATAGAGGGAACATCTCAAAATAGAGGGGTCGGAACAATTGCTATGATCGGATTCCCTTATGATCCCTATACAAGTATGCTATACATTCCCCCCCCCCCAAAAAAAAAAAAAAAAAACAAGCCTACTCGAATTATTAAGGGCATGTTACTTCTCTTCATCTCCTTTTCCCTTCATCCCCCTTCGTCTCAGAGGGCGCACACATCTACTCTTAGACCCAAGAGTCACCAAAAATTAAGAGCCTACTCTGGGTCGAAGACTCTTGTGTGGCTGGGAGCATCAGGCTCACGCAAGCAGGGAGGCCAGCTGTCTGTCGGCGTGACGGGTTATAAAAAATAAATAGGCTAGGCTACCTGTCCGAAGCAAACCTTTCCCTGGGCCCCCAAGTTGTCTGAATCTAAGTCCCCACAGGGTAACATCTCACAAGACGGACCCTTCCCCAGCAGCACATTGCAGCATGGCTTTGTACGGGCTTCCACTCTGAGCTTGGGCACAACAGCAATTGAGGAACAATTTGCTGATACTGTGTTGAATAAAGGTTTATTTGACAGTTGCCCATGAAGGTCGGGTAGTATGTACTCTGAATATATATATATATATATATATATATATATATATATATATATATATATATCGTACTATACCCGAAATAGGGCTTGTATACAGTTTGTTTGCTACCTTGAAAAGGGGTTGCAGATAGGGATGCCATTAGTTGTTGTTTGGGCTCCTGGTATGCGGTACTTTTCAGAAGTATGCGTCTCTCGCTGCCCCCGTCTCCGTCTTTGCCTCCTACTGTAAGATAACACCTAGTTACTTACGAACTTTGCTATCCCAAGTTTAAGGGGCATGGTCTCTGGACTTTAGGCTAATATTTCGGGAACCCCTCCTTGCAGCGCGTAAGTTTAGGGCTTTGGGTTTTGGGTTTAGGGTTTGGGGTTTAGGGTTCAGGGGAGGTCCGTGAGTACCTAAGGGCGCCGCGCAGGTCCATTCGCCGCCGCGGCGCAGGACATCCTTGTGCCTGCGAAGCCGTAGGGGTGTTGGGGTGGGGGTTCAGGGTTTAGGGTTCAGGGTTTAGGGTTTAGGGCAAGTTTAGGGTATACCTATAGGAGTGTAAGGGTTTAGGGGTGTTGGGGTACACTGAAGCCAGCACGCACTGCCCTGACAAATCTCGGGCAATGCTGTCTGCTCGTTTTCGCCTTGGACCAGATCGACCCCATTTCAGGGATCTGGAGGGTTTGGGGCATACGGGGTCGAGACTGCCTGGGCACTGGAACACCGGCCGTAAACCGATCATAAGCCCGGTAAGCCGGAAGCCCCCCGACCTGAAACCCTCAACTGCAAAAGCCCTCAACCTTCAACCCAGCCGCAGGCCCTCAACCCTGCCTGACCGCCTGGGCGACATGCTGGTCCTGTGTGAGCGTTTTGGGTTTCAAGGCATGTCGTGTTTTTGTCGATGTTCCAAACAGGGTTTAGGGTTGAGGGTTTGGGGTTTGGGGTTTAGGGTTTAGGGAACCCTCAACTGGGGTCGGAGTTGGCTTTGTTTGGCTTTTCATAGCTGAACTCTGCTCACACGTGGAGTCTGGAAAGTTTCCACCAAGCGCTCCTGAGGCCCAACAACCCCTGAACCGCCCTAACTCTAAGCCCTAAAGCCTAGACCCTCACCGCCAGATGCCCCAATCCTACTCTGGGGGCTTATAGGGTCGGGACCCTCGAGGAAGTACGAACCCTGAACCCTAACGAACCCCAAAGAACCCCTCTTCCTCTACATTCTTTAGGGTTTAGGGTTTAGGGTTTAGGAGTCCCCAAAAGCCCTCTACAAAGCCAAAGCCAAGCCTTGCAGCACGTCGGATCGGCCAGGAGCCGTTGGTAGCAGAAGGATGTGGCTTCCTGAGAGTTGAATAGGCTCAGGGGGGTTTAGGGTTTAGGGTTTAGGGTTTAGGGTTTAGGGTTTAGGGTTTAGGGTTTAGGGTTTAGGGTTTAGGGTTTAGGGTTTAGGGCTTACGGGAACCCTGGACCGCCGTCTGCCGAAACGACCCGGCCGGCTCCCCGGTGAGACTCTGGCCGTCATGTAGGCATGGAGCTCGCCCTCGGGGAGCAGGCTGGCCTTCGTAGGCCCATGGAGGGTTTAGGGTTTAGGGTTTAGGGTTTAGGGTTTGGGGTTTAGGGCTTAGGGTTTAGGGTTTAGGGTTTAAGGTTTAGGGCTCAGGGTTTCGGGCTCAGGGTTTCGGATTTAGGGTTTAGGGCTGAGAGGGTTTGGGGACATCGAGTTTCTTTGGGGTTCTTGGGCTTTGGGCTTCCCGACCCGCGCTGCAACCCAGCTCGAAAAAAAGTCTGCAGCTCTCAGCCCTAAACCCTAAACCCTAACCCCTAACCCTAAACCCTAAACCCTAAACCCTAGAGAGGAAGCCGAGAGAGGCTCCTGCCTTGCCAGCTGCACTCAGGACCAGGGCAGCCAAAAGGACCTCCCAAGAAAGGGCAGCCCCTCCACCCCCGAAGCCCTAAACCCTAAACCCTAAACCCTATAAGCCCTAAACCCTAAACCCTAAAACTAAACCCTAAACCCTAAACCCTTGGGGTGTTTGAGGGGAGTTTACGACCCACCGAAAACGGTCAACTGTTGCCTCACTGCCAAGCCACTCTGAACCCAACAAGAGGTAAAGCTGTCAACAGGGGCCTATTGAGTTAATGGGTAATTAGTTTGGGCAGCTGATGTTGCGATAGAATGGAGGGCGGACATTGGTTCAGGCTTCTTCGGTCCAACGGGTGGAGGATAGAATTCTTGGACTGCAAGGAACACTCTGGATTAGAGTTCAGATCTCACCTCCCCATGAGGGTTTGGGGTCAGCCCCAATGAGGCATCTGAATCTGTGCTGTGGTTTTCAGAACCCCAAACCCAAAAACCCTAAACCCCAAACCCTGAACCCTAAAGCCTGGGGGTATGATGTGGGGCTTCATAGAGTGGAGGGCTACGTCTCCATTTCTGGGTTTGGTTTGATGGTACCACGGTTTCAATCGCCCCGTGCACGAGTTGTTCGACCTTATCTTGCTTCTCCAATAACCAAGCCTCACGAAACCGCCGGCAATAACAAAAGGACAAGCTTTCAGAATCCTACTGGACAAGCACCCCAAAAAATAAAAAATGTGCATGCTCATATGGGCCACATAGGGATTATTCTATTGTGTTGGGTTTTTCAAGCAAGTAGTAGGAAAGGAGCTGCCACGTTGCGCCATGCCTGGCGCGGTCCTACCACTCGAGGACGCATGGCCTCACCTGGCTCGGGGGGCGCTGGGTGGCTGCGGAAGGTTGGGGTCCCTAAACCCTGAACCCTAAACCCTAAACCCTAAACCCTAAACCCTAAACCCTAAACCCTAAACCCTAAACCCTAAACCCTAAACCCTAAACCCTGAACCCGAAACCCTAAAACCTAAACCAACCCTAAACGCGAAACCCGAAACCCTAAGCCCTAAGCCTAACATCCTTAGACCCCAAAAAAGAGTCCCCCCCCCCCCCTAGAAGGGGCCCCTAAACCCTAAGCCCTAAACCCTACACCCTACACCCTAAACCCTAAACCTTAACCCTAAAAGGGATCCTCAGCCCGACATTCTGGTCATCCCAGCAAGAACCCCGAAGCCCCTCATCCCGCAAACCCCACTACGAGGCCCAAAGAGGAACCCAGTCAGGGTTTAGGGTTTAGGGTTTAGGGTTTAGGGTTTAGGGTTTAGGGTTTAGGGTTTAGGGTTTAGGGTTTAGGGTTTAGGGTTTAGGGTTTAGGGTTTAGGCTTTAGGCTTTAGGGTTTAGGGTTTAGGGTTTAGGGCTTAGGTCAGTCATGAACAAGGGTGCCCTCCTTGGTTTCTTGGTAGCCCAGCAACCATCTCACAATATGGGTACCCTTTTTGGGGGTTGGTTACGAACTAGAGAAGGGAACCTTGAACCAAAAAAATGGAAAAAGGGTACCACTGGGCTACCAAGGTTTATAGGGGCTTCAGAAAGGAAAGCTAGAACCCCCCCCCCCCCCCCAAAAAAAAAAAAAAAAAAAAAAGTGGGATGAGGGTCTGCTCGGGGTATGAATTAGACGACGGTCCTTGGAGACCCCGGTTCGGTTTTGAGACCACAGGACCATGGCTTGCAAAACCCCCGAACTTGCTGCAGGCCCTGAACTCTTCAACCCCAAAACCCCTAAACCCCAGAAGCCCTCAGATTCCTAAACCCCAACAGCCCTACAACTCCTACACCCTGAAAGCCCTACACTCCTAAACCCCAAAAAGCCCTGAACTCTTAAACCCCAAAAGCCCAAAACTCCTAAACCCGAGGTTGAAAACCTTTGGACCCTAAACCCTAAACCCTAAACCCTAAACCCTAAACCCTAAACCCTAAACCCTAAACCCTAAACCCTAAACCCTAAACCCTAAACCCTAAACCCTAAACCCCACCCTAAACCCTAAACCTTAAACCCTCGTCGATTTCCTGCCTGCCGGGCTCATGGCATGCCGGGCGACCGTGGCTCTGCAAGTCTGTAAGGGGCTACACCCTTTCAATGAGCTTAGACCCGTTAGGAAAGCCTAGGGCTTAGGAAAGCTTTAGGGTTTAGTTGGGTTTGGGGTTTAGGGGTTTGGGGGTTTAGGGGTTTAGGGTTTAGGGTTTAGGGTTTCGGGTTTCGGGTTTAGGGTTTAGGGTCTAGGAGGGGCCACCAGGCTGCAGGTCACATTGGGGATGTGCGGTGCCATCCGTGCTCCGTCATGCCTGCTTCTGAAGACTGCCACAGAAAGCTTCCCACAAACAGGGCGGTTTAGGGTTTAGGGTTTAGGGTTGAGGGTTGAGGGTTGAGGCTTGAGGGTTGAGGGTTGAGGGCAAAGCAACAGGAATGATGCTTGCCAGGGCCTAAACAAGGGACAAGGGCCGCATGGCAATGCGGGGGGAGGGTTCAGGTTTAAGGTTTAGGGTTCATTGTTTAAGGCTTAGGGTTTAGGGTTTAGGGGTCCAGGTAGCCAGCAAACAGAACAATCCTTATCCGAAACACCTTGGGCAAGGCAGGGCGTGTCCATTGAGGGTTCCTCCTGCTGTCCCGAAACCTTGGTTTAGGGTTTAGGGTTTAGGGTTTAGGGTTTAGGGTTTGGGGTTTGGGGTTTGGGGTTTGGGGTTTGGGGTTTGGGGTTTGGGGTTTGGGGTTTGGGGTTTTGGGTTTAGGGTTTCGGGTTTAGGGTTTAGGGTTTGGGAAGTCCGAAAGAGCCTCTGAACGTTCCTGGGCATGAGCACACGATCTTTCAAGGTGGGGCTTTCGGTTTGCAATCCTTCTGCCAGATGTTCCTACAGTTGCAGGTGAAAATTCTAAACCCCAAACCCTCAACCCCATATCAACGCCCTCAACACCCTAAACACCCTGAGGGCCCTAAGCCTAACACCTGCCGTGATTCTTCGGCACTCGCGAGGACCCGGTGAAAGAAGTTCGGCAAGGCGCCCATTTCCTAGAATTCCGATGCAGTTCAGCTCCTCAACCGGCAAGGGCGTAAGGCTGAAGTCGCCACAAGAACGCGAACGATGCAGGTCATGCTGTAAACCCTACGCCACGGAAAGACCGAACCCTGAACCTCAAAACCCCAAACCCGAAACCCTGTAATACCCCAACCCCCTGTAAACCCAAAACCCCAAACCCTGAACCCCCAAAACCCGAAACCCAAAATCCCTCAAACACCCTAAACCCTAAACCCTAAACACTAAACCCGAAACCCCAAATCCCAAATCTTCATCGGCCCGGAAGCCTAGAAGCCCTACTTCCCGGGAAGCAATAATCCCCGCCAACCTTGAGGATTCCGTTGCGGGTTTAGGAGGGTTTAGGGTTTAGGGTTTAGGGTTTAGGGTTTAGGGTTTAGGGTTTAGGGTTTAGGGTTTAGGGGTGAGTCAAGGCTCAGGGGTTGACCAAACAAAAGCCGTTCAGTGTTCAGGACTTGTAGGGAGGTTGCCGGAAACCTGGAAGTGCGAAGGGTTTTGGGGCCGCTTAGGGTTTACACCAGGGTTTAGGGTTTCGGGTTTGGGGTTTAGGGCTGAGGAGAACTACCCGTCCCCCCTCAAGGAGCGAGGCGTTCTTTTTGCGCGCAAAGCACGATGCGTTTCTGAAGCCTGGCACAATGTGAGTCTAGGTGGTCGGACCACCGCAACATCAAAGTGATTCTCCATGTGGACCCCTGGGCCAAATGTTGTGGATCCCAGACCCAGGACTAACCTGGGAATAGACAGGACACCCCTACCCTACAAAAACGAACAAGGGCCTACTCCGCGCCTAGGCTCCCATGAGAAAATGGGTAACTCGGCTTCTCCGAAAACTGATCCGAGAACAGGATTACGGGGGTTTCCGATATTAGGGGTACCTTATTGGGGTCCCTACAAGGGGATCCTACTGTTTGGGGGTCTATACCCATATTCCTAAACCTTTTGATGGGAAGGGGAAGTACACAATGCCGCAAGGTCCTGCCTAGGGCACGCAGGCTCCTGTCCAGGAACTGAGGCTAAGCTAACAGAATATTGCGCCCATGTTCTTATCTTATGATACCTTATTCAGCTCCGGAAAAAGAAGCCTTTAGTGAGGATACCATGAGCATGTGCCACAAAGGCGCCTTGTTGTGGTAGGGTTTCGTGTCCAGGGTTTAGGTTTCGGTTAAGGGTTCCGGGCTTGAAAGGGTTAATGTTTTGGGGGCTTTAGGGCCCTCTTTTCCCGGGGGTCCACATGACAGCCTCCAACATGTTCTGCGGGCGCTTCCTGCTTTAACATCGAGCGATGGAAGGGGGTTTGGGCTTCGGTTACAAGGGACATGTGCACTTTGCATGTCGACACAGACTTAAGGCACTACCTGAAAGGATTCGGGCATTGGGTCTTGAATTGCTTTGGGGTTCGGCGGGTTTGGCGGTGTCCAGGCTCCTCAGAAAGAGGGCTGTGGGGCATCTCAGCTGAACGGCTGTGCGCGGCGCCATGATCCGTGAAGCGTCCGCCCGCGATCGAGCATTCCAAGCAGCTAAACTACCTCACCTGCGCAAGAGGCCATCCACAGGGGGCATATCGAAGAAGGGCGGGTGCAATCCGGCTAAGGGAGAACCCCGAACTCACGCCTCGCATGCTGGCCTTTTGGGCTCTGACATGGGGTTTGGGGGTTTGGGGGTTTGGGGGTTTGGGGGTTTGGGGGTTTGGGGGTTTGGGGGTTTGGGGGTTTGGGGGTTTGGGGTCCCCGTATACTACACTGTATAAAAAAAGGCCCGGACTTCGGATCCCTATAGACAAGGGAAAGGGACCATACTGACCATACTAAGGGCTCATGGTTCCAACCTTAGATCAAAAGAGGGGTTCAGGGTTTAAACCCCTTAACCCCTAAACCCTAAACCCCAAGGTGCACATGCTGCACAGGACTTTAGGCGAACCTCTCCATGAATGGCCACCAAGCTACCAAATATCAAAACTGTGCGTGTGAAAAAATGCACGGAAATGGCAACCTGGGCGCGATCTAAACTCTTTAGGGTTTAGGGTTTAGGGTGTAGGGTTTAGGGTTTAGGGTTTGGGGTTTAGGGTTTAGGGTTTAGGGCCCTCATCCCCTGAACCTGTCTGGTTGAGGGGTTTAGGGTGTAGGGCTGTTTACGGCTTCGTCCGCGATGCCACGTCTTGGGTTGACCGGGGCCTCGGGTTAAGGTTGTGGGCCTTGAAGAGCACAAGAGAAAGTGCACCCAACAGCAAAGTCGGGTTTGGAGCTAAGGAGATCACAATGATTTAGGGTTTAGGGTTTAGGGTTTAGGGTTTAGGGTCCAAGGTGGATTGTTCTTTGGCTTGCTCTTTGTTGTCCCAGGTTGCACAGAAGGTCTGCGGCAACGCTTCCTCGGGCGAGCGGGCATGGAATGAACGAGCCATGAGTGCGCGGCAGCTGCTACACCCTAAACCCTAAACCCTAAACCCTCAAGCTGGCCCGCCTTCCACTAAAACTCGTGCCCCGAGAGCTATTGCGGCTCACTTGTGGCCCGGACGCGCGAGCTAATTCAGCATCTGGAGAAGGCAACCTCAAGGGACCACGAGAAATCTGGTGGTTTCATGGCTCAGGGCCTGGCATTGCTGACATGTATTCTCGCGATGTGGGTTTCGGGGATGTGCATCACCAGGGTCTGAAGGCTTGCCATCGCCAACCCATTGGGTTGGCAACACCCCCCGGAAACCGTGAAGCCCCTGGTCGCAAGGGACAACCCTACACCCTAGCCCCAAACCATCGAACCCCTAAACCCTCAACCCGAAACCCTAAACTCTCAACCCTCCACCCTAAACCCTAAACCCTGAACCCTAAGCACCGGGCCCTGCGCCCACACCCCAAATCCTCCAACGACAATCACTAGAGCTCAAACTAGAGCACTAGAGTTAGTGACGCCTGCCAGGCCGCACCCGAAATACCAAATGAACCCCGCTGCGTTGGGCTTCTGGCTCCCAGTCACCGAACCTCCTTTTTAGAATTTGGCGGGACTTAGGGTCTATGTAGGGTTTATGGCTTGGGGTTTGGGGTCTTTTAGTTTAAGGCTAGGTATTTGGCTTCGGGCTCATGGGGACCTCAGAAAAAGACGGACTTATAAGCGGGACAACGTTATACTGTAGAAGGTTTCGCAAGTTGTATCCTCAGCTGAGACCTAATTTGGGGTCCAGTCTTGCGATGGCGACACATAAGATCTACAGCCATCCATGAACGCCAACCAAACCTCCCTTTGCTTCTCCAACCTGTCCGGTCGGTGGTACACACTCTGGAGGGAGTCAAAACTTCGAGACTTCTTTCTGCCTCAACCCTAAACGCGTTAACACCCAAAGGCCCTGCAGAAGCCCGCATCTCAGCGTCACGCGCGAAGCTTGTTGCGTTGGAAAAAACCGGAGATCTTGCCTGGCGTGGAGAGTTCAGCGCTCTGGTTCTTTAGAAAACCATCGGCTTTGGACTCAGAAACCCCCCAAAACCTCAACTCCATACTCCTCAGCCCGCAGCCCTCAAACCCCCAAAGGTTGTAATCCCCCTTAAGTGGCATCAAGGTTTGTTGAGAGACCCATTGGGTCAATAGTTGCTCGTGCCACTGGTCAAACTCTGGCGGTCTTTGGGGGTTTTGGGGCCGTCCGGGACCTTTCGCTGCTAACTTGCTGGGGCCCTTGGGGTGGAGTGTATTATACCAGTATGCTACTATCTTACTATTCTCAGTACTCCATTTTTTTTTGCGGTTCTAGTATTGCAACATTCGTCTTCTAGTGCCATACTCATAATTATTATAGGCCTTGTAGAAACTTGGAGCCTCGGGGGGCCTTCCTCGAAGCCCTAAACCCTAAACCCTAAACCCTAAACCCTAAACCCTAAACCCGCCCCTAAACCAGCCCTAACCTCCGGCCTCACGCAGGGAGGCCGCCACGACGCGGGCCGAGGACGTTCTCCGGCTTCTCCTCCAAGCCGGAAAGTACATCCACGCTAAGTTTAAGGCTCCAGGGGTTTAGGGTTTAGGGTTCAGGGCTTAGGGCTTAGGGGTTAGGGTTTAGGGTTTAGGGTTTGGGTTTAAGGCCCAAGTGGTGAGGGTTTAGATTTGAAAAAAAGGGTCGAGGCGGGAGGAAGCATTGTGAGGTTCAGCTAACCCTAAACCAAATTCTGCCAAACCTCCGAACTCGACCACCCAACTGCCAACATCACACAACCTTTAGACCCCGTAGTCCCCGCTTTGCTCAACTCCTAAACCCTCAAAGTCACATTGTCAATGTGCATAACTGCAAAACCCAAAACCGCCAACCCCACACAGCAGGCTCAACCTGCCAAACCCCTGAATCTAAGACGCAAAACTTACACAAACCCCTACGTTAACCGCAACCTCAAAAACTCTAAAAGCCCTGGCTGGCCAAACTGCCAAGGAAATACCCCAAACCCTAACGCTAAACCCTGAAGCCCAAGAGCCTCAACCCTAAACCCTGAACCCTGAACCCTAAACTCTAAACCCTCAACCCTGAACCCTAGCTCTCTGGGCCCGGGGCCGGGGGTCCCAGGCCCAGGACGTTCACACATCGCAGATCCTGAAAGCTTCAAGCTTACAGCCTCGTAGGGTTCGTAAGCTTGGCGTTTAGGGGGATTCGGGGGATCAGGGTTATAGGGCTTAGGGTTTTGGGGTTTAGGGAATCAAGGGTCAGGGTTTCAAGGATTAGGGGATCGAGGGTTGAGGGGGTGTAGGGGTTCGGAGAGCAGGGCTTCTGCTTCTCGGGATTTTGTAGGCCGGGGTCTAGGATCTAGGCATCCAAGTTGATGGTTAGCACCCCCGAAGCCTCAAAATTTATGAATCTTATTCCCCTAAACCCCTGAAGCCTGGAGCCTTAACCCTGAACCCCAAACCCTAAACCCTAAACTGCCCTGAACCCTAGACCCTAAACCCGGAACCCTAAACCCTGAACCCTAACCCTGGATCTGGGGGTCCGAATGATGGCACCTTTGTTGCTGTTCCTTTTGTCAGAATAGAGGTTCGGCCAGCCGAGATATCTTGACGGCTGTTGCATGTAAGCCTAACCCCGAAACCCTAAACCCTAAACCCGAAACCCCTAGCAATCGAAGATGCCAGGCTGTCAGCTTTTCCTGAACCCTCTGCTCCGGCAACCCTCGAATTCTTCAGCAGGGTTTGTGTTTAGGGGTTTAGCACGTGTCTAATGCCCAAACTATAAACCCTAAGCCTAAACCCTGAACTGCAAACCCTGAGCACGCCCTAAACCCCCAAACCCTACATGGCGCCTCATATGAAGTAGGGTATATATTTCTTGTACCCCCAAAAGGACACCAAATATATACACTCACCAATATTCAAAAAGGAACCTTATATACACTCACCATAAACAATAATATAAACCCTGCTTCATATCCTAAACCCGAAACACCGTAAGATCCTCGAAGCACTTCTCCATGCGCTCCACCGTCACTTCCTCTGGCTTTGGCATGTTTTGGGGTTTCGGGTTCAAGGGTTTTTAGAACTTATAGAGTTTAGGTTGAGTTTGGTGTTTAGGGTTTATAAGGTTTGGGAAATTCTTGAGGGTTCTAGAGTTTCAGGTTTATAGAGTTTTTGGCTAGGTTTTAGGCTTAGGGGTTTCTGGTTCAGTGTCTATAGGGTTTGTGTGCAGGGTTTATAGAGTATAGGGCTTCGGTTTTCGGGCTTAGGCGTTTAGGGTTAGGGCGTAGGGCTTAGGGTTTAGGATGCTCCCCGCAGTTGCAGTCTTTGAAGGGTCAGAGGGTACTACCATTGCAATTTCCTACTATTTGCTTGAGAACCCCCGCCGCGAAAACAATAGCAAAAAAACTACAATTATTGATATCTTTCTTCTAAGGAAGAACAGATTTTTACTATAAGCACATGGTAGTCTCCTATTTGCTACTCTCAGGGCGGAACAGCTACACGCACGCACGCACGATTTGAACCTACACGATTGAGCCTCAGCGGAGAGAACAGCTGTAAACCCTAAACAGAGGAGAGAATCGCCTTAAACCCTAAACCCCAAGCCCTTAAGTGTCTTGCCCGAGAAGTTACGTCTTGTACCTTCACCCCCGAACGGGGTGTTTAGAGTTTAGGGTTTAGGGTTTGGGGGCCCAGGGTTGAGGGTTTAGGGCTTAGGGGTTCGTGTTGAAGTTCCTAGGAGGACATGGGCATGAAGTGGTTTAGGACTCAGGGTTTAGGGTTTAGGGTTTAGGGTGTTCGGGGCCTCCGCGGATCGCATGCAGGCGCGAGGGTCGTAGTACTTCTTGTTGGGCTTCTCCGGGCCTCAGGAAGCTGCCCAGACTAGGGTTTAGGGTTTAGGGTTTAGGGTTTAGGGTTGAGGGTTTAGGGTTTAGGGTTTAGGGTTTAGGGTTTAGGGTTTAGGGCTTAGGGCTTAGGGCTTAGGGCTGCCAAGAGGCTTGTGGGCTACTCCGCCTAAGCCCTGAACCCTAATACCTAAACCCCAGGCCTGTCGTTGCTTAGCAGGGTTTATTTAGGGTTATAGGGTTTAGGGTTTAGGGTTGTTTCAAGAGGATGACAAGCCCTCCGCAAGCCCCCATCCCAAAAAAGAGAACGAATAAGGGCACCCCCACTTGGTTGAAATCGTTTCGGCGAGCGAAACGTAGAACGGGCATAAGGGCCCACTCTGCATCCTAGTAAACCCTAGACCCTAAACCCTAAACCCCAAACCCCAAAACCGTAAACCCAAGCCCGGCACCATCCGGGTTGCCAATCTGCGTCTGCAGGTAGTCATGGTACTTCGACTGGTTCAAGGGCTAGGCTCAAGAGGCTTCAGGGCTATGGGGCTTGGGGCTTTATATCCGAAACCCTAAACCCTAAACCCTAAACCCTAAACCCTAAACCCTAAACCATAAACCCCAAACCCTCTTTATATCCGGGGAAGCCCTTTGACTTAGGAGACCCCTTCCATAGCTTAGGGAAGGCCGGAGTATCAAAAGCCATTGAGATCGAAGTCCGCCGGCGCGCGTCCCGCCCCCTAAGCCCTGGGTGCAGGGCTTATGGAATGCTGCGAAGGCCCTTCAGTTCATGGCCACAAGGTTTGGGGGATAGGGTTTAGGATTTTGGCTTCATAGCGCTTACGGTATAGCCCACCCCGCCCTCCCCCCCGCCCATTTTTGTCCACAACTTTCGTACTGGTAGTAGCGGTATCCAGTACATGCGTCGACTTCTCATTTTACAAGGTAGTTGCGGTGTGTCTTCAGGAATGCTTGGTGCTTCCTTGTCAAGGTCTGTCCTCGAGATGTTTTGCGGCGCTCTTGCTATTATCGGTTACCATCACTATATTCACTACATGAGGGTCCCTGTTTTTGGGGTCCCCAAAACAGTACGACACCCTTAAGAACCCCAAAAAGGACCCTCATTTACAGAACTGCTACACCAATAACGATTATTTTCATCTACGACCTTGGTGCAAGAGCCAATGCTTCGTTATCTCTCGATGCTGCTGATGACAAGTTCCCCCATGAAACCCTCAACCCTAAACCTAAACCCTACACCCTAAACCCTAAACCCTAAAACGCTAAACCCGAAACTCTGAGTCCTAAACCCGATAAAGCCTTTCCTTTCCAGGGAAGGCTGGGAACCTCGCAACTGCCTTTCCTGGGGCCACGACCCCAAATCACTTTAAAGACCCTAAACCCTCATCCCTAAACCCTCAGACCTCAACCCCCTCAACCCTGACCCAATCCAGCCCGGCATTTCGGCGCGCCTCGAACTCCTTGATGCCACTCCAGTAAGCCCACTGCCTTGGCTTCAACTCGATTTTGCGTGGGATGTGTAGGGTTCAGGGCTTAGGGTTTCGGGTTTAGGGTTTAGGGCTTAGGGCTTAGGGTCTTAGGGCTTTAGGGCTTAGGGTTTAGGGTTTAGGGTTCCCCGTTATACTAACACTCCTCAACAAAGATTGTAGTACCCCCTACTGTAATCCCTACTAAGGACTGTTAGAAAAAGGGGGAACATCCCAAGTTCAGGGTGGTTTCCTACATTTAGTGCCCTTTTAAGGAGTCGCCTAAATTCCCTATACTAATATATATATATATATATTAGTACATATATATATATATACTTTATTTATATTTATATTTATATGAATATTTATACTTATATATATATATATATATGCCCTTCTACTTCTGCGGAGAGCTTGTACCATGCTCGGGGCTTTGGAGCCTTAGCCTTAGCCCTTTTTGCAACGCTGTGGCCTTCTAGGGTTTGGGATTTGAGGGTACAAGAGCCCTGAACACCCCAAACTCTACAAAGCCTTGGCGAACTAAGCTGTCGAATCCCTTTACGCCCCTTAAGCCCCGAGCCATAAAACCTGTAAAGCCGGAGGGGCCCCCAACCCCCCCCCCCCCAAAAAAAAACAATGCATAATGTGTGTATACATACATACATACATACATACATACATACATACATACATACATACATACATACATACATACATACATACATACATACATACATACATACATACATACATACATACATATATAATCGTAATCATACGAATACGAATAATAACCATAATAATTATAGTTATAGTTACAATAATAACAATAAGAATAACAATAATATAATAATGATAAGAATAATATTGTAGTAATACTAATACTGTCGTAGTAGTAAAAATAATGTTGTAATAATAATCTGAATATTGTAATAATAATAATAATAATACGACTGTGATAAAGATGATATTGTAATTGTAATAAGAAGAAGAAGAAGAATTTAAACCCGAAACAGTCCCCCAAAGCCAGGCCCTCTTGCACCCCTAGCGATCGACTCTGCTCGGGGCCCGGCGTGTCCGTGTCGATGTTCATCTTGATCACTCCGTAGTCCACGGCCTGTATAAGTTCTGGGTTTAGGGTTTAGGGATTAGGGTTTAGGGTTGAGGCTTTAAGGGCTTGGGTGAATAGACCCAAGAAGCAAGGTATAAGAGAAACCAAAAAGGAGATGACAATATGTAATAAAACAAGTAGCTCTATGCAAAGTGCAACAGGGAACAAGACAAAATCCATCTAAACTACAACTTCAGCATGTTTATACTTCAAGAGACCACGGGATACGAGCGTCGCTGCTACTTTATCTATCTCAGTCTCCCTTTGCATCTTCATTATTTGGCAAGAATAACCCAAACACATACGAACATTGTGCACGTGGCAAGCATCAGGACTCAGGCGTTTCGGGGTTTGGGGCCTCAGCCTGTTGGAGCTTAGACTGCTTGTCGGGTGCAGCAGCTATTGGAGTCCTCCTCTCGCATCCCCAATCCGCCAAGAGAAAACCGCGATGACTCGATAACGCAAGTGCCCTGCATCACCGAAGAGAAAGCTTGTGGTCTGTAAGTCAACGGATCCAACCCACCCATGCTCGGATGGTTGACGCTCTCCGGTTCGGAACGGTCCTGACACCATGCCCAGCACCAGGTTGCACACAAAACTGACGTCGTAGACGCTTCGCACCTTTGGCGAAGTCGCCATCGCACTGCGTTCGAGCAGCCGCGAAGCGAAAACATCGCGGTGATCCAGCACGTATTTGTGCAGATCCTCTGCACAGGTGGCTTGTGCTCAACGAAATCCAGAAAGGCAGCACATGCCTCCTTGGCGTGTTGAAGTACTTTCGGATCGTTCTTCTTGGGAAAGGAACAGCCTTTCTGTCAGATGCCTTGCTCTGCTCGTGGCCTTGTCCAAAGGCCATTCCTTCCGACGGGAAGGCACTTCAGGTCTCCACGTGAGGTCCTGCATCAATGTTGGATCGCCGTCTCCTGCCCGGCGTCAATTCAACAGTGCTTTGTGAGGAGTTCAGTTCGCGAGCAAGCGAAAGGTCGCCATCGTGTGGACGCAACGGTCCAGAGCTAACGCTGTAGGGTACGTTTACCCCTAGAGGTAACCATTTTGCCGAACAGCAATTCGAATATCAATTGAGTACACCATTTAAAGAGATGGCTTAGGGTTTAGGGCCCCCAATTCCTCTAAACCTTAAGGTCATCCCTAGAAATCCCGAAGTCCTAAGCCCGAAGCCTTAAAACCCTCGAACCTCAAGCCCTTAACCCGAAACCCTAACACCCCCCCAGAAGTCCCTAAGAAAACCCTACACCCTATACCCTACACCCTAAATCCTAACACCCCCCCCCCCCCCCAGAAACCCTTAAGAAAACATAAGAAAACCCTATACCTTACACCCTAAGCCCTACACCCTAAACCCTAACACCCTACACCCTACACCCTAAACCCTACACCCTAAACCCTAAACCCTAACACCCTAAACCCTAAACCCTAAACCCTAAACCCTAAACCCCAAACCCTAAACCCTAAACCCTAAACCCTAACACGAACTCCCCCTGCGGGGCCTCGCGGATGTCCTTGAGGTCCGATCCCGAGCCGCCATGGAAGACGAAGCTGACGGGCTTGCTGCCCTCCTTCAAAAGTGGGGGCATCCGAGATTATAAGGGTTTAGGGTTTAGGGTGCCTTTTTGGGTAGGAAAGGGGTATAGAAGGGGGTCTATATATGTATAATATATATATATATATATAGAAGGGGTCTATTTAGAGGGTATGTAAGGGGGTATATGCCTTCCTTCTTCAGTGGGCAGCGCCGAAATGTCGAAGAGGTTTACTTACATGTTACATAGGTCCCGCAGTATGGGCCCTTGAATGGAGGTTTAGGGTTTAGGGTTTAGGGTTTACGGTTTAGGATGTAGATCCTAAACCCTAAACCCTAAACCCCTAAACCCTAAACCCCTTAGGCAGCCGGGTTCCCGAGCCGAGGATCCTAAAACCCCTGGAGAATAGTTCTCTACCTTACTAGCATTTGCTTGAGGATCCCCCCCCCAAAAAAAAAAAACATGAAAGACCATAATCCCTATATTGCCCTAGTTAAGGAGGAGTATCTTTGTGTTTTTTTGGGGGGAGTTCTTAAGCAGATGTTAGGTTGCGGCCCCTGCTACCGAGCCTTCTCACCAATCTTCTCGGCGATGTACCTGAGGGCGCGAAGTTGCCGGGATCGAAGGGGCTCGATCTTGGGGCCTGTGCGATGTAGGGTCGGGTTTAAGGGCTTAGGGTTTAAAACTAAACCCTAAACCCTAAACCCTAAACCCTAAACCCTAAACCCTAAACCCTAAACCCTAAACCCTAAACCCTAAAGATTTCGCAGGTTAGGGCACAGAGGGCTTGGGGCATGAACGTGTCCATGCCAACTTGCTTTCATGATACGAGTTTTACCCCAAGCCCTGAACCCCCTTCAGCACTTCAGGGGCACTTCTGTGCCGAGTCCAAGATCTTCGGCTTGAGGACCACGTTGCCCGGCTGGTAGACGCCTTGGCCGCTTGCGGATTCAACCCCCCTAACCCCCCCACCCCCCCTCCTGCCTGTGGGGTCCCTAGGCCCTAGGCACCGAACCCCTAACCCCTAAACCGTTCACAACGCCCTTGGCTCCCAGACTCTGCCTCTAGGGCTCTCAGCATTTAGGGCTTAGGGTTGCCTCTGGGGGTTTCGACTCAGGGCTCATTGATTGAAGGCCGTGGTTTCTGGTTCAGGATGTTGTGGCTTCTTATGCCGCTTGCAAGGCGCCAGGCCATGGCTTTTGAGTCTCTTGGTAGAGCAAAGAATGTCGCTTGAAAAGGCTCCAGCGCTTTTGCCACGGATGAAGAAGATGAAGACGAAGATGAAGAAGAAGAAGAAGGAGGAGAAGAAGAAGAAGCCGCGTTCACAGCACAAAAGCAACCAAACAGGTCACAGTCCTCACAAGACGACACATGGTCAAAACACGTACAAGACTCCGGACACAAATCCTGTGCAATGTCTGCAGGGCTTGGGCTTTTTGAAGCTTAGGTTTCCACCCGAAACACACTGGCAAGAATCCACGACTTCGATGCAACTAGGTCAGCCCTGCCAAACCTCTGCAAAATGTTCCGGAGTGTGGTCCTCCCAAACTTAGGGCTTAGGGTTTAGGGTTTAGGGTTTAGGGTTTAATTAAGCAGCAAGGGACCACAAATACCAGCAAGATGGAATGAGGAAGGTCTGGAGGCTTATAGGGGTTTCGCTCTCACTCTGGGGCAGAGCGCCGTGGACGTTTCCGAAGGCAGCGGCAATGGTGAAGAAGCCGTTCGGAATCTGTTTCGAGCATTTGAGGGTTCAGGGCTCAGGGTTTAGGGTTTCGGGTTCTCAGGTTTAGGCTTGCAGAACACTCCGGACACCTTGCTGAGTCAACATCTGCTCGACATGGGGCTACATGCGGCATCTCCCTCCCAAAGACAGCATCAAGGGACTAAAGGAGGGACCCTTGTAAGGGACCTGAGGGCTTCTTCAGGGGCTACGTAGGTATATAGGGACTAATTACAGGGGAATAAGATTGAGGGTCCCTTCTGAGGGTCCCTCCTTATACCCCTTAACGGCAGAGGTTGCAAGCCATGCACTCCGTCGGAAGGCTCGAGGCTCACGCATGCGATCCTAAACCCCAATGCCCAAACCCCCAAACCCCAAACTCTAAACTCCCTGAAACCTGAGCCAAACTCAACGAGGATTGGAAGCCAACCACAAACCTACACGCTCAGCTGGCCCACCCTGCACCCTGAACTCTAAACCTCAACTCCTAAAGGCACTAAGCAATGAACCCTTTACTTTACCCAACATGCTATTGAGTTTAAGAGCCTTGGCACCCCCCCCTCCCAAGAAAAAAGCTAACCAAATGCCGACCTTGAACCAACAAAGCTCCTCTTGTCATAGGCTTTAGGACTTAGGGTTTAGGGCAACATCTTGGCACAGGTTCTAGGGTTTAGGGCAACTTCTTGCGGTAAACGTAGCCTACCTAAGAATCTGATCATGAGACGTAACCAGTAACCCCCAACCCCCTGTATTGTACAAAATAACACCCTAAACCCTAAACCCTAAACCCTAAACCCTAAACCCTAAACCCTAAACCCTAAACGAAGTGACATTATAGGCCTTCTGAACTCTGAACCCCAAAAAGGGCCCTGGTGCCTTTGCCAGGGCCTCGTAGACCTGGTAGATCTCCTGGCTTTAGGGTTTAGGTTTAGGGTCTACTAGCGATTCCACGAATCCCAAATCGATGCACTTAGGGCTGGGTTCAGGTAGACAAGTGTCTAGGATTTACTTGGGGGGTTTAGGGTTTGGGGTTTAGGGTTTGGGGGGGGGGGGGGGGTTTGGGTTTGGGGTGCTCTCGCTGGCATATGTCCCAGGTAACGCAAGCGAGTCCGAACGTCCTCGGGCTTGGAGTAGAGATCCTCTGGGTTGACGTCCTCACGCGATTTGGGGGTTTAGGGTTTAGGGTTTAGGGTTTAGGGTTTAGGGTTTAGGGTTTAGGGTTTAGGGTTTAGGGTTTAGGGTTTAGGGTTTAGGGGTACCATAATATTGATCCTACTACTTGGCGGTGTAGACCAAGGGGCCCCTTATGGTCATAGACTCCCCATTTTGGGAGCAACCCTGGAACCCCAAACAGCAGCCTTAGGGAATAGGGTTTAGGGTTTAGGGTCTAGGGTTTAGGGTTTCGGGTTTAGGGTTTAGGGATGCAGTAGGCCCCAGTGGGCGTGGTAGCGGTTTGCGGGCGAGGTTGGTCTTAGGGCTTGATGTTCCATGTGTACAGGGATGCCGAAGGCGATGATACTGGTCCTTATTGGGGCTCCCGCACTCTCAACCCCACCCTCCGAAGCGGGCTTTTTAAGGTTTCGGATTTAGGGTGTGGGGTTTAGGAGTTGGGGTTTAGAGTTTAGGTCATGTCCGAAGGGCCTACCTAGAATGGTCCTCGTTGTTCACGCCGTCTTCCTCACCGCCCGTGATCCTGTCAGAGACCATGAGCTGAGAAGCTAGGGCCGGGTTCAGGGTTTAGGGTTTAGGGTTTAGGGTTTTTTTTATGCAATGATTTAGGGTTTAGGGTTTAGGATTTAAGGTTTAGGGTTTAGGGTAGTTTAGGGTTTAGGGTTTAGGGTTTCGGATTTAGGGCGTCGGGGTTTCGGCGTGGGACGCTAGGTGTCTAAGGTTTTGGGCCCCGGCGGGAGGGGTCCTTTGGCCTAACTCAGCTGCCGGGAGCGCTTCCCTGACATCCTAAGCCACAAACCCTAAACAACAAACAGCTGAGGGTTCCAGGAGGGTTTCGGAGATAGGGTTTAGGGTTTAGGGTTTAGGGTTTAGGGTTTAGGGTTTAGGGTTTAGGGTTTAGGGTTTAGGGTTTAGGGTTTAGGGTTTAGGGTTTAGGTTTCCCAGGAGGTCCTAGGGGTCGAGCCATCCTCGGATTTTCACAGAGGTTGATCCAATTCTCTTACGAGGTCGGACCTGCTGGTGCTCAGTACGCTGGGGGGTTTAGGGTTTAGGGTTTTAGGGTTTTTTGGGCTTACGGTTTTAGGGTTTGGGGGTTTCGGTTTAGCGCTAACTTAGCCTAAGGTGGTGTTAAGCTGTAGGGTTAAGTGGTTTAGGGTCCAGGGTCTTGAGCTTTCTCTTTGCTTGTGCTCGCTTGTTCCTGGGGCTGTGGGGGACATGAATGCGTGGAACCCAAACTATGAACGCATTGGAAGGCATCCCCTTTCACCTGTCGCCCCTTCCTTCCCCCAAACAGAAGGTCCCCACCTCGGTTTAGGGTTTAGGGTTTAGGGTTTAGGGTTTAGGGTTTAGGGTTTAGGGTTTAGGGTTTAGGGTTTAGGGTTTCCGAACCCCCTTCTTCGCCGACCCCAACCCTGCACCAAAAGCAGCACGGGCCGGTCCCCAACTCCATCTCGAGACCACAGCTGATCTTGGCCATCCGCTCCAGGTACTTGACCTTATGGCTTGGGGGTGCCCTCGCAGTTTGGGGCCTGAGGGCTTGCAGGGTTTAGGGTTTATAGGGTTTAGGGTTTAGGGTTTAGGGTTTAGGGTTTGGGGTTTGGGGTTTAGGGTTTAGGGTTTAGGGTTTAGGGCTGTTTGGAGGGGCGGGTTCGGGTTTGTGGCTTCAGGCTGACGCCTTGATGTTGCTTCTGGTGTAGGAGCACCCTGTCGGCGAACTTCCCAGTCCCTACTCCCTCACCCTCTTCCCTGGACACTAAAACCTAAACCCTTGCCCCCAATTCGACCCGAGTCTAAATACCTGTTAGGGCCTATTTCCAAATTTTTCCTTTTGGCATTTGTCTCTCCTTCTTCTTCGCGTGAGGTTCTGAAGCAACATTCAGGGCAAAGATGGCTTGGAGCCACTTATGCATGTAAGGCACAGACCCCACTGCAGGGGGTAGGAGAGGGAAATCGGAAGAAGGGGTTTAAGGTTTAGGGTTTAGGGTTTGGGGTTTGGGGTTTAGGGTTTAGGGTTTCGGGTTTAGGATTCAGGAGCTTAGGGGTGCTGGATGTTAGGAGTTTTCGGGTTGAGGGTCTGGGAACCCCGCGCCTGTATATCCCCACCAAGAGCGTCGACTCCCGAAAAAACTCACGTAAGCCCTAAACCCTCAACCCTCAACCCTCAACCCTCAACCCTCAACCCTCAACCCTCAACCCTCAACCCTCAACCCTCAACCTTAAACCCTAAACCCTAAACCCTAAACCCTAAACCCTAAACCCTAAACCCTAAACCTAAGCCCTACACCCTCAATCCCCCTTATGGCTTGCAGCTTGGCCAACTTGGGCCCCCAGCGCAAATTTCGATGTTCTCCTCCAAAGGCTCCTGGCGGTTCGGGTTTAGGGTTTAGGGTTTAGGGTTTAGGGTTTAGGGTTTAGGGTTTAGGGTTTAGGGTTTAGGGTTTAGGGTTTAGGGTTTAGGGTTTAGGGTTTAGGGTTTAGGGTTTAGTGGTTTAGGGTTTAGGGTTTCAGGTTCAAGGTTTAAGGTGAAGGGTTTGGGGTTTGCCCAAGTGGGAAACCCCAGCAGTAGCTGTGATTTTTGCCACTCTATGCAGGACGTCGTGCAGACACTCTGAGCGATGAAGGGTTTGGGGGTTTAGGGTTTGGGGTTCAATCTTGTGTGCCTCTTGAAACAGCCTCGAAGCCACCCTTCAGCTCCTGGAGTGCTAGGGTTTTACCGCCTGCTGTAGGGCTTAGGGTTTAGGGTTGCGGGTTTAGGGTCCAAAGTGCCATGAGAGGTCCTCAGACAGGTCCAGCATGTGAGAAGAGAACAGCGGCTCCCCGTGGAGCTCGAAGTATCGCTCCTGGCATAGGGGGGGGGGGGGGGGGGGGGGGAGGTGGGGCTGAGGGGCTGATGCCCCACCATCAACAAGTCTTGTCTGACGGGAACACAGATCACGATTGGCCTTCTTTCTATGTTTAGATTGTGGCTTCTTGTTGTTGCGGCAAGTATGGTCACATTTAAGTGATGATGCAGGATGAAGATGATGATTTCCTCCTGACCATACTCATGATGACAATGCCTATGCAGCATGGCGTTCCACACAGGTGCTCATACAAAAATTATATTTCATGATGTCTGCTGAGGGGTATCTCCCCACATAGGGGTACCCCTTTTATACCCCCACATAGAGTAGAATCCCCTTAAGGGGAGCCCAAAAAAGGGGACCCCCATTGTGGTGCAACTCTGCGGCTCCGCCAGGGTCTGAAGCGAGAGAAACACTCCCACGTCAACCCCAAAGACCTCAACCCTAAAAGCCCTCAAGCAGTACATCCTGAAAGTTTCTCCCCTAAACCCTAAACCCTAAACCCTAAACCCTAAACCCTAAACCCTAAACCCCAAAACCCCAAAACCCCAAAACCCCAAAACCCCAAAACCCGAAAACGCCACGCAAAAGAACGAGGAACCCACAACCCTCCGCCCGGGCGGCATCGGCTTCAAGCAGCCCGTCGAACCAAGGAAGGAGGTTCTTGGCGCAGTGGTCCTGGGGTTGGGAGTGGGGAGTTGGGGAGTTGAGGGGGGGGGGGGGGGGGGGAGTTTAGGGTTTAGGGTTTAGGGTTTAGGGTTTAGGGTTTAGGGTTTAGGGTTTAGGGTTTAGGGTTTAGGGTCTAGGCTGGGAAACGCGCTCAGGTTCGGGGCTGGCATGGTCGGTGTGCCTGTCTGGGGTTCGGGGTTGTGGGTTGCTCTCGCTATAATATTGTCCTGGCGTCATGCGATTCAGGCAGCCTTTAACCACTTAGCACTGGGAGGAAGTTGGCTTCAAGGTTCTGAGCAACTTTGGCGGGTCGGGCGCATCGCGGCCAGACCTCCCGCACAGAAGCCGCAAGCTGTACTGGTGCTTACGACCCAGGGCCTCCACCCCCGAAGCCTCCTGTGTACCCCCTGGGCCCCAAACACCCTCATATAGGGGTCGGAATAAATTCTACTGATATTCCCTTAGGGTCCCTTTCTATCTATACTATTCTAACCCCTCAAACCCTATTCCAATCATTAAGGCCCCTATAGTACACCCGAAATGCTACAGCCTCCAAAAACTTTGAATCCTACCCAGCTGTGTGGGTTCCCATATTGATGCAAGGCAGCAGCGAGCTCTTAGCAGCATTGAAAACCGCAAGTACCGATCATGAGCTAGAAGAAATAAGAATAGGGATAAAACACGATTAGCAATAACGATGATGACCATCATCATAGTCCTCGTGATATCCGTTTGAGAACATTCGCGACAAGCTTGACTTAAGCTCGTATGCCCAGCTCACTTCATTATGGTAATTCTTGGGCCCACTGGGCCCTATCTGTTTGGTGTATACTTCCCAAGCTAGGGGCCCTTCATACACTCCAAATAAGACTTACTACACGAGGAACACCCCAAAAGGGTACCCTGCTATGGGAACCCCCAATGGATAAAAAGGCTTAGGCCTTAAGGATTTAGGAACTTTGAACTGACCGTACATCAACCCTAAACCCCTAGACCCTAACCTTAAACCCTAAACCCTAAACCCTAAACCCTAAACCCTAAACCCTAAACCTTAAGAAGCCCGAGCCGCCGTGTGGAGAATGACGGGTACGCCGTACTGCTCGGCGATGGCTCGCACGTGATACCTCAGGTTTAGGGCTTAAGGGGTTTAGGGTTTAGGGTTTGGGGTTTAGGGTTTAGGGTTTAGGGTTTAGGGTTTAGGGTTTAGGGGTTTAGGGGTTTAGGGGTTTAGGGGTTTAGGGTTTAGGGTTTAGGGTTTAGGTTTTAGGGTTTAGGGTTTAGGGTTTAGGGTTTAGGGTTTGGGGTTTAGGGTTTAGGGTTTAGGGTTTAGGGTTTAGGGTTCAGGGTAGGGAGCACAGGCCTCATCTGGGGATTTACGTTCTTAGGGGCAACTTCTTGGGGTCCTTGTTATAAGGGAATCCTACTATTTGGGGGTCTATACTAGGGGCCCCTTATTTTCAAAAACCCCCATATTCTAGGGGTGGTACCTGGGGCCCTTAAGGTTGTGCCCTTGGATTTTGGGGACCCCTTTTTCATGATCCTTAAAGTAGTCTAAGGGCCAATTTAGGAGTATATGTTTATTGGAACCTTTAGGGGCACGAGTCTTAATCCCTTGACGTGTGGCTCACCGGGGCAACCACAAAGGGTCTGCAGGGCTCGGGGTGCTAGAGTCAAGGCAGCAATTAGGCTTCTTCAGAGCTCGGGGTTGTGAAGTCCCTTCAACCTCACCCCTACAAGAAAACCCCAAAAACCCACAACCCCCTGACCCTAAACCCTGAACCCTGAACCCTGAACCCTGAACCCTGAACCCTAAACCCTAAACCCTAAACCCTAAACCCTAAACCCCATTAACCCTCAAGCCCCCTGAGGCGCTTGGAGGTTTAGGGGGGCCTTTCGGGGCGCTCGGAGGCTCAACAGCTTAGGCCAGGCACGCGCCCGACACGGCTCCGGCAATAGCGGCGTGGAACTCCTTTTGGGGGCCTATACCTTAAGGACCCAAAACATACCTTTGTGTAGTTGCTCATTAATTACAAACCATTTTGTAGGATTCTTAGGCAACCTACAACAAAGGTAGATTTCGGAGGTCTTGAGGTAGGGTTTTTAGGGTGGCAGGCGAGAGGGAGAGGCAGAGGGAGAGAGAGCGAGAGAGAGCGAGCGAGAGAGAGAAAGAGCGAGACAGAGAGCGAGAGCCATCTGTGCTGTTGTTGTTGAGGCTTCCAGCTTGCATGATAGGTTTAGGGTTTAGGGTTTAGGATTTAGGGTTTAGGGTTCGGGTTTAGGGTTTAAAGTTTAGGGTGCCAATGCACCGACCCACCCCTTGAACAGAGATGGTGACAAGCCTAACATGGTAGGGTGTAGGGCTTTACGTTGGCCTGAGCGAGCCGACAAACCCTTTCCAAGCCACATAAACGCACTTCCGAATACCCCGCAACCCTCAACCGAAAGGCCGCAACCCTAAACCCTAAACCCCAAAGCCTGAACCCTGAACCCTGAAACCTGAACCCTGAACCCTAAACAAAGGAAAGCTTAGAGGGATGCAGCCGCTAAGAAAGTCCTTGTTGTCCAAGCCTTTGCCAGCATAGAACCTTGTGAAGCCAAGGAGTTAGGCTGCCTGGGGGGTTTAGGTTTTAGGGTTTAGGGTTTAGGGTTTAGGGTTCAGGGTTTAGGGGTGGGAGGACCTCAAGCTAAAAACCTGAATCCTAAACCCTAAACCCCGCACAGGGGAATTCAAAAGACACACCTCTTTGCGAACTCTTCAAGGCTCCTGTAGCAGGGCAGTGTGGAGAGCAGGGTTTAAGCTTCAGGGATTCAGGCCGGGGAGCTTCCAGGGTTTAGGGTTTAGGGTTTGGGGTTTGGGGTTTAGGGTTTAGGGCTACAATCAGGCCTCAACATCTCATCGACAGGCGCGGGGCACTCGATCGGGCATTGACGCAAGATTTCTCCGCCCATGACCAACCCCTGCCTGGGACTGACTCTCAACCCCAACAGCTTTCTGGCCTGGTTATATACGTCAGCTCGGGGGGGTGAATAGAGCAACCCCTTCAAACCCCCAAGAACTAAGACGGCTTGCCACTCTTCGTCTTTGCTCTTGTCCATCGGCTGCAGGCTGAAGCTTGAGGGTCTTAGGGAATTTGCAAGGCTTCGGGCCTGAATCACACACTCTTTTGTCGGGGTTGAGGGGTTCAAGGTTTAGGAGAACTGCGAATCTCCAGGCTCCCAGAGTAACCTAGGAAAAATGAGGCCCCTTCTGTTAAAAGGGCTGTCTGCTGGGGATCCTAAGCCTGAGAGTGGGAACAATGGTACTAGGCGGGGGGGGGGGGTGGGCCTAGACCCTGAACCCTTTAAAGCCGAAGTGCAATTTGTGTTAAGCCCCGAGGTCGACATGCCCCTGAGCCCCATGAAGGAGGGGTTGGTGCGGGCTGCTCGGTTCGTTAGGGGAAAAGGGAGGGGGGATAAAAGTTCAAGAAACAAAGCCTAAATGCGGACCGTGTGCTGGGATCCGCCCGAGGAGAACTGGATCATGATGGGAGCCTCGGCACTCCGGCAGGTGAACAGGGGCGTGTTATGGGAGAGCTGTCGGGCAATCTGCGACTTCGCGAACCTCCCTTTCTGTCACTGCACCCCCTTGTACGCAATCCCCTAGAAACAAGTACCATAATTTTGGAGCGCTGCCCTCCCCCACAAGCCCGGAACCCCAAAAGAACCCTAAGCCGGAACAGGCCGGCCAAAGAAGGGGTGTCCTCCGAACTGTCCTCTGAGGTCATCGCATCCATCTTCCTTGCGGCCTGGTGTTCTGGCAATCGAAATGCGGAATCACATTGATGCCGGGCGCAGTAGAAGTTTTCCCGGGTTTTTGGGTCTGATGGTTTTAGGGCTCCGGGTTTGGGGTTGAGAGGGTTTCGCAGGCTGAGCGAACATTCGGCCCCGCGGCTTGAAACGCTATGCTACCCCCGCTTCCAAGCGCCCCAATTTCAAGGTTTAGGGTTCAGGTTTCGACCCTAAACCCTAAACCCGAACCTCCCCTCAACCCTATACGCCGACGCAACATGCTTCACCATGCGGAGAGCCCCTATGCAGAACCCTAAGCCCTCCTAAACCCTAACCCTAAGCCCTCGCTGATCATCCCTAAAGGTCCGAAAGGTCCTAAAGGTCTGAAAGCCCCCAAAGGCCCTAAAGCCCTACAATCCCCGAGTTCAACGTCGGTAACCCCAGACGAGATTCACAAAGACTTATGGGGCTTTAGGGTTTAGGGATTCAGTGATGTAGGGATTTCGGGGTTCGGTGGTTCAGCCCGGAAACCTTATGAAACGGAGCCCCACAACACCTAAACCCAAGAAGCCCTACAAACCGAGCCCCTAAACACCCTGCAACACCGAAACCCTCTTGAACCTCGGGGTGTCTTCGGGATCCTAACCCCTAAACCCTAAACCCGAAACCCTAAACCCTAAACCCTAAACCCTAAACCGTGGCCTCGATGCAGGCATTGATTCCCGAGGACGAGACGCCTTATGAGGCCCCAGTTGTTAGGGTTTAGGGTTTAGGGCTTAGGGCTTGGGGCTTAGGGCTTAGGGTTTAGGGTTTAGGGTTCAGGGTTTAGGGTTAGGGCTTGGGGTTTACGGTTTAGGGGGGTTGAGGGTTTAGGGTTTCATGTGCCGATATGGAGGTTTCCGAAATTAGGGGTGCCTTCTTGCGGTCCCTACTGTACGGGAATCCTACGAGTTGGAAGTCTATATTTGGGATTGCCCATTTTCGTCAACCCCCATCATTGGATATTGCGGGTGGGATTCCCACAATAGGGGTAGGGGTGGGATTCCCACAATAGGGGTACCTACTTATATACTCCCCACAAGAAAAAAGCCTTTCTGATCGGAAGCCCCCCAGGCAGGGTAATCCTATTTTCGGACACCGCCCATAGTGTCTATGTGGGCCTGAAGCTACTGCCTAGGAATCCCATTACGGCACCGGTACAAACTATACTAGGTACATGCACCCTTTGAAAAGGTGCTCCAGCGGGGGACGATGGGAAAGGCAATTGGGAATGCAATCCAATGTCCCCTAAACCCTAAACCCTAAACCCTAAACCCTAAACCCTAAACCCTAAAGCCTTGGTGGGCCTGATTCCTGCACGTCTGCGAAGACCTGAGCCTAAGCCACCTGGTGCTTGCGGACGAAACTTCCTACGAGCGGTTTAGGGTTTAGGGTTTAGGGTTTAGGGTTTAGGGTTTAAGGTTATGAGGGCGGTAGGCACTGAACCTAGTCTAGGTACAGTCTGCCTTTCAACCGTCCTGGAAAATATTTGTGACCCGGTTCTGCCCGATATTGTAATGGCTCTCAAAGCAACACAGAATATTGGGGGGGGGGGGGGGCCACGCTTTGGAGGGAGGCTTGGGCCATGCCGAAACTGCCACAGGCCCTGGGCCTAAACCCCTGAACCCTGCAGAAGCCTAACCCAAGAATCCCATGAACGGAACACTATCACAACATAATTTCCCCTCCGTCCCCCCCCCCCCCCCTCCCAAATCCTGGACCCTGAAACCCTAGTTAAGACCTGAAAACTGAATCATAAACCCTGAAACCTCAAACCCCCAAACCCAGAAACCTAAACCCGTAAACCCTCAACCTGCAAACCTATAAACCCTGAAGCCTGAAACCCTAAACCCTAAACCCTGAAAATTGAACGCTACAAACCTGAATCCCAAACCCTGAAACCACAACCATGAACCCTGAACGCAGAAAAAAAAACCGAAAACCTGAAATCTGAAACCATAAGCCCTAAGCCCTAAACCCCCTTTGGGTGCCCAAACAGTTCACGGCCGGGATGGCATAGCCGTTCTCCTTGGCGTGGTTGAGCAGATCCACCAGGGCCTCCAACCATTTCGGTTCGTAGGGATAGGGTTTAGGGTTTAGGGTTTAGGCTTAGGGTTTAGGGATTAGGGTTTAGGGTTTAGGGTTTAGGGTTTAGGGCTTAGGGCTTAGTTTGGGGTTTAGGGTTTAGTTTTTTAGGGGCTTAGGGTTTTCGGTTTTGGGCTTAGGGTTTTAGGGGTTTTTAGGGTTTGGTGATTTGGGGTTCGGAGCTTAGGGTTTCGGCGTTTCGGGCTACGAGTAAGGCTTTGTTCGGGGTTTGGGGTCTCCAGGATTTGTGGTTTGTAAGCCTCCGGGGCTTTCAAGCTGTAGCTTTGCGAGGTTGGGTTTAGGGTTTAGGGTTTAGGGTTTAGGATTTAGGGTTTAGGGTTTAGGATTTAGGATTTAGGATTTAGGGTTTAGGGTTTAGGGTTTAGGGTTTAGGGTTTAGGGTTTAGGGTTTAGGGTTTAGGGTCTAGGGTTTAGGGTTTAGGGTTTAGGATTTAGGGAGGGTTTCGGGTTTAGGGTTTAGGGTTTAGGGTTTAGGGTTTAGGGTTTAGGGTTTAGGGTTTAGGGTTTAGGGTTTAGGGTTTAGGGCTTAGGGCTTAGGGCTTAGTTTGGGGTTTAGGGTTTAGTTTTTTAGGGGCTTAGGGTTTTCGGTTTTGGGCTTAGGGTTTTAGGGGTTTTTAGGGTTTGGTGATTTGGGGTTCGGAGCTTAGGGTTTCGGCGTTTCGGGCTACGAGTAAGGCTTTGTTCGGGGTTTGGGGTCTCCAGGATTTGTGGTTTGTAAGCCTCCGGGGCTTTCAAGCTGTAGCTTTGCGAGGTTGGGTTTAGTGTTTAGGGTTTAGGGTTTAGGGTTTAGGGTTTAGGGTTTAGGGTTTAGGGTTTAGGGTTTAGGGTTTAGGGTCTGGGGTTTGGGGTTTAGGGTTTAGGGTTTAGGGTTTAGGATTTAGGGAGGGTTTCGGGTTTAGGGTTTAGGGTTTAGGGCTTAGGGTTTAGGGCTTAGGGTTTTGGGGCCTAGGGCTATCCGCCACTCCGCAGGGTTCCTTGCCTGGCACCAATAGCTCCCCATGGCCCTTAATTAAGAACTCTTTCGCATGGCCCCTCCCCTAATGGATATGGGTAATTCTCTAAATTGGGATCCCTTTTTGGGATCCCTTTTTCAAGGGTGCTGCGTTCTAATGGGTACCCAACAAAACCTTGCGAACTTGCCCAAATACTCGTTCTAAATAGGCCTCAGCCCTATACCCCAAACCCCAAACCCCAAACCTTAAACCCTAAACCCTAAACCCTAAGCCCTACATTGCGGGGCCGAAATGGTTGCCTGTCCGGAGACCACACCTGGGTGGACGGACCTTTGCTTTATAGGGTTCTTAAGGGAGGGTTTAGGGTTTGGGAGTTTGGGGTTTAGGGTTTAGGGTTTAGGGTTTGGGGTTTAGGGTTTAGGGTTTAGGGTTTAGGGTTTGGGGTTTAGGGTTTAGGGTTTAGGGTTTAGGGTTCAGGGTTTAGGGGTATGCAACCCAAGGCAAGAGTGGATGAGCAGCAACTGCGCAGCACTTTCTTTCGGCACTCAAGCTGAGCTCAAGATTTGCGGGATCCGGGAGCAAATCTAAGAAAAAGACCCTGAACCTACATTTTTTGGGATCTAGATGAAAGGAGATGTGACCTCGGCTACACACGATACAGGGAGTAAAACAGGCAGACTTTCGCAAGGGTTTTAGGGTCTAGGTTTAGGGTTTAGGGTTTTAGGGTATTAGGGGTTTTAGGGTTTTCGGGCTTTGGGAGGGTTTGGGGTTCGAATGTTTGAGGGTTGGGAGGGGGGGGGGGGGGGGGGATTCTGGATTTTTTTTGGGGGCACCACCCGGCGACTTGCTTATAAACATCTACTTTCTGGGGTAAACCATAGTTCGCAATACAGTAGCAACACATCCTATAACAGACCCGAAGGAACTACTAGCACCTGGGAGTCTTCATGCATGGAAGCAAAGAGACCAGGTACTTAAGATTCGTGGCTTGGCCTAGGAATCGAGTGGAACCTTGTTTGTAACCAATCTGTTTAAGAAAGGGGAACAGGGGCTCACCAGTGTGTGCCCTAAACCCCAAAAACCCAAACCCTAGGAGTTCGGGAGGATGGTCTTGGAGACTATTTGGGCTCCTGCATGAAGCCAAGTAGCCAGTAAATACTTCTTTAATAAGGCTACCCCCTCGAACCACCCAAAAAAGGGAAAAGGGCACCACTGGGCTACCAAGTAAACCACCTGATGTCAACGGCGTGGGAATTTCTTGCAGGAGCCACCCCTTTCGGAGCAGAAACTTGCGGGCCCTACCGACTTCAAGGATTTCAGGGCTGACGGGGGGGGGAAGCCCTAAACCATATAAACCCTGAACTCGAAACCCCAGGCTTTACTGTACGCCCTTGCGGTATTCACGAGATTCCCTGCTGGCGCCATCGAGCCTCGACAACCTCGCAGCCTTCCCAGCCTGTAGGCGTTCACATGCCAATTGGCTTAGGGTTTGGGGTTCGGGGTGTAGGGAAAGTTTAGGGCTTAGGGTTTAGGGTTTAGACACAGAACCCCGAGACTCACCGGGCACCCCGCTCCGGCATCTTGGGGAACTTTCCCACCGGCGCGTTGCGTCGTGAGAGCACAGGGAACCTCGCAGGGTTTAGGGTTTAGGGTTTAGGGTTTAGGGTTTAGGGTTTAGGGTTTAGGGTTTAGGGTTTAGGGTTTAGGGGAGGCTTAACGAATGCCAGAGAAAAGACTCATAACAACTCCCACCAAAATGAACCACAACCTGAAGGTTTATAGGGGTGAGGGCATAGGTCTTCGGGCTGTGTTGGGTGGTGCTGAAGGGCGGAAGATGTAACCCTAAACCCTAAACCCCGGCGCGGCCTCTTCTCGTCAATGGCGGCCTTGGTGGAGTTACCCGAGCT